ACCCACCCACCACTAGCACCACCTGCTGCTGCTCTTTGTGCCTGTGGAGATGAGCACTCCCCGGGGTGGGCTCAGAAGCCCCTCCCCCAACCGAGTCACATGCTGGTTGAAGCCCCCTGTGTGGGACCCTCCTGTCCGTCCCCCAGCAAACGCCTTCCGTCTTCTGCCTCCTGCAAAACCTGGCTGTTCTCGGCCCAGAATTTGCAGTCCTGGCACATTGAAACGTCACAGTGAGGGTGGGGGTGGGGGGTGGCTCCTTCCCTGGGCTACTCTGTCCGTCTGTCTCTCTCCTTGGCACGGGGACAAACATCCTCCTCTCTTGCGCAGCAAAAACTGAGGCAGAAGCAGGCCTCCACGGGGCGGAAGGCTGGCACTGCCAAGGCAGGCCCCCCAGCTAAGGCAGCCCCGGGAGCCCAAGAGCAGAAGCAGTCCTTGGATCCAAAAGGCGGGGCACCCAAGGGCCCGCCCAGGAAGCCAGCCAAGAGGCGCAGGGGGGCCCCGGCCCCACCGACAGGCCCTGCAAGAGGCCCCCTCCCCTGGTCCGGGTTCCAGACTCAGGCGGAGGTGGAGCACGTGGAGCTGCCCAGCGGCAAGAAGCGGCGGAAGGTCCTGCCTCTTCCCTCCCACCGCGGCCCCAAGATCAGGTAGGGGAGGGCACACGCCATCTCAGCGGAGCGGGTTCTCTGCTGCCGCCTTCCCGGCTTCCTCTCCTTCGGCTTCGCTGCCCCTGCCTCTTGTCCTCTCCGCCCCGCCTCTTGTCCTCTCCGCCCCGCCTCTCGTCCGCTCCGCCCCGCCTCTCGTCCTCTCCGCCTCTCGTCCTCTCCGCCCCGCCTCTTGTCCGCTCCCTCGTCTCATGCCTTCTGGCTCCCCTTTTGCCTTCCCGGTCTCTGCTGAAGCCCCTCTGCTCCCGCCTCCCCTCTTCAGCCCCTTCCCCACTGGCTGTCCCACAGTGGCCTCGTTTGCTGAGCAGTGTTCCCTGCGGTGCCTGGCACGGAGCACGAGGGCCAGGGGGGGTGTTGCAAGGCAGCTGGAGCCTTGTCCACTGGCAGAGGAAAGACTTGTGCCAGCCCCGTGGGGGGGGGGGCGTGGGACTGG